TCTCTCTCTCACACACACACACACACACACACACACACACACACACACACACACACACACACACACACACACACACACAATCAGTTTTACGTCTGTCAGTCTTTCTTCTGTTGTATGTYCTCCCCTTGATTTTTTCTATGTATTTTTGTATGCCCAACTGAGCACCCTTAAGTAGTGCCAAACAGTCAGTGGTTCCTCGTTTGGAGTGCCTACTGCACTCTTATGGGGGCCGCTTGGTTCGGGATGTCTGTATTGGCTGTCGGTGATGGCGGATGTTTGTCGGAGTGACTCCCTGGCTCAGTGGGTGGTGGGAACCAACAGTGTGCGGGGTTCAACTGTGATGTGAGTAGGTCATGTGTTGCTTTGCTCCATGTTGGATGTGTGGACTTCCTCGTTTGCGCTCTGTCGCTGCCCTGCTGCCTGTCCCGCTTGCTTCGTGTGTGGCTCTCTGCGAATTGCTGTGTTCGCTGCGTGGTGTGGCCGCGTTGTTGATGTTGCCTTGCGCTTCGCTGCTTCGCTGCTGTGTTGCTCATCCGCTGGTCGTGCCTTCCATGTTTGCTGCTTGTGTGCCCTGTAGGTTGGTTGCCTTGGTGCTGCTGCCGTGTGCTCCGCTCCACCGTTGCCAAGCTGCTGGTCCGCTCGCCCTGTCGTCTGTTGCAGTGTGGCTGCCCTGCTTGTGTTGCCTTGTGCTTCACTACATGGTTGCCACGCTGCATGTCCTGCGTGCCATGTCGTTCCTTGCAGTCGTTTTTGGCGTTTTGCAGCCGTGTTGCCTGTACTGTGTTGCCTGGTGCTCCACAGGGTTGCTGCCCGCTGCTATGTTCCGCTTGGGGACAGTCTGCCTTCAACAAGGGTCAAAGGGTTCATGACCCAAACCATCAAATACGGAGATTCCGCAGATTGTTGAGGGTTCAGCCTCCTGATGAGGCAGTGCAACTCCGACGAAACAATCTATCATCATCAGTTTTTATTTTATTTTTTTCGGTCTTTGTTTCTTGCCCTGTGCTGTTTGCCTGCCCATCCTCCTCCCCTCTACACTGCAGCCTGTCCTTTGCTGTTTTCTATCTTCTGGCCGCTTTGCTGTTTTGCGATACTTGTACTTATGCCCTCCCACCTCCCCCATACGTTTCAGCCTTTGTGCTGCCTCACTGCTTTTTCCTCTTCTCATGCCTCTAAGTTCATGTGCCTCCCCCATGTGTTTCATCCTAGGTGCTGCCTCACTGTTTGTTCCTCCTCTCGTGCCTCTTAAGTTCATGTGCCGTGTTGTGGTTTGTCATCCTATGGTGTTAGTTCCCTGCCCTTTGCCTCGTTGTCCTTTGCCTTCCCTCCGTTGGTTTGTGAGGTGTTATTGCGTGTGTTCTGGTCTGTCTGGAAAAGAGGATGCGCCACCCACCCCCCTCACTTTGTCTTATTGCTTTCGCGTATTTGGCTGCTTTCGACTTTATGGCCTTCAAATAAGTACCCTCACCACAAATGGACACACAATATGGTTTTACCCTGCCGCATTGAGAATAACCTCCGCGGCTGCATCTTGCTCACAGTGCGCCGACGTTGCTGGTCGGAGCAGCGGGAGTATGACGTGTCGTACTCACGCGACTCATGTGACACACACATGCTACACTTACTCTCTCTCTCTCTCTCTCTCTCACACACACACAACTGTAGTAGTGTATTGTTCCATGTTCTACCGAAGATTCATGTCTCCAATCTTGCAGCTGGCCTCATGCTACTTCGATCGATAGCATGAGCAAAATCGAATGAATCTCCCGCTAGAACATGCAAAGGTACACCGCCAAAACTTTTGTCTTTTGTGAACGTGGTGAGTGGTGGATCGAGACCCTAATCCATCCCACACTCTCTTCGCTATCTTCCTCTTCTTCATCGTCATCGTCTTTGTTTCCAACCTCCCTCTTCGTTTTTTGACGACTCCACTGAGGGCATACTCACACTAGAACTTTTCAGAGTGAGTTCTTGACTGAGCTGTGAACGTGATTGCGGTTGGATAAATCCAGGTCGGGTGGTAATTGCGGTCACATACATTTAGAAATGTGCTAGTGTGAGTATCGCCAACGAAGTACTCCCAAGAATTGTCCTTGTCATAAACAACGTATGTTTTTGTTGTCGCATTGGAACTCTCCTTTCTCATCAGCCAACGTCTATCCTTATGTCTGTTTGTGTATATTGCTTATTGTGCAGAGTTATGAATGCACGAAAAACACGAGGGCGCAGCTTCCACACGACTACGAACAGGTAGAGAGAGGGATAGAAAGAGAGTGAAAAACAGATTGGGAGAGAGTTGTTACATACTCCAACGGATGCCAACCGTCCTCGTGACACTGTTCCAACACCGCACCAATACCGTATCCCGAAGCGTCCGTAGTCACTTGGGTGGGTAGGGTGGGGTCGTATATACGGAGGGCAGGTGCGGCTTGCATCGCTGCCTTCAACGTAGTGAACGCGGCACGGGCTGCGTCGTCGAACTCGAAGGGCACCTTTGGGGACTGAAGTCTCGACAAAGGAGCGGCCACTTTCGAGTATGACTCGACGAAT